TTTTTTTTTTTTTTTGGTACCGGGGATCAAACTCGAGTCCTTGTGCTTGCACAGCAGGTGGTGAAACCACTGAGCTAAATCCCCAGCCCCAAGAGTTAAATTCTTTTTATTACTGATGTGATATGAAAATTAAAGGTATCCAGGAAAAACTGATGTTTAAACTACAATTCTTAAAAATTTAGGGCTGTTGCTGCACTTGCTCAGTGGAATCTCTACCAAACTCAGCAGGGCAAAGTTTGAGCGTCTGTCATGATAACAATTTACTAGCAGCTGAAGGTTATACTGTGTGTTCTGTGTGCCAATTTCATTCTAAACTCTTTATGTACATTGGCCTATCTATTTTTCTCAATAATCTTAAGTGGTAGACAGTATTATTATCTCTGTTTTATAGTGAGGTGCAGATTGAATTAAGTAATGTACCCTACTTCACACAAACAGTGAAGAGCAGTGCCAAAACTGGGCACAATGTAATCCTGTTCTTGGCTCTGTGCTATTCACCACTGTACCAGACCTTTCTCCTGCTCTATGTGGCATCATAGCCTTGATCAGAAATAGACATCAGATCCTGGGGCCACCGCTATAGAGCAAACCAAGATTTCCACTGAACGAAGTTCCCAAGAGTTGCAAGCATTCTTTTATTTCCAGTTTCCCTAAAAGCTCTGAGTCTAGGAATATCATTTTTCAGTTAAGACAGATTAGATAAAGAACATTTATTCATCTCTCATTTAATAGATAAGAAAAATTAAAGTTTAAAGAGATTGAGTGACCCATAATTTTTTATGGTGGAATTTTTTCCCCTGGAGTTACTAATTGGTGAATGTTGATTAACCAAGACTATTCACTAAAATATTTGTTAAGGACCTTCTTAACATATGTCTAGGTAAGGAACATATTAGATATTACAATATGTATTTTTTACAATTACCATAATAAGCTATATGATGTCATATAATAATAATTTCTTTCTAACAGGGAGAATTTACTACAGTAGACCAAAACTTTCAGAGTGACTGTGGATGTGTACAGTATCTTTGTGGTAATTATTTTTTTAAAAACCCTTTTAAATGATAAAATATATTGGTATCTGTTATTCACTATTAATAAATTCAGAATGGTTTTGAAGGATATAAATATTAAGCCAATCATCAATATTTGAGTAAAAATATACTACTTTTTAAAATAATATCTCAAGATGTTCTGAGAAATTTAATAATGGGAAAGAAAAATGAAAAGTTTTAGAGGTTGAACAGAATTTTAAAATTGATGTAAGAGTTCTTTTTAATGTCTATATTTAGTTTTAAAAATGTATAATATGTATAAGTATGAGGGCTTGTCTATTTTTTATTATTATTGACATTAACATTGTAAATCATAAATACAAGTGATTTTTCCATGAAATAATGACCCTTCATATTAAGTATTAGTTAGGTTAACAAAGAGTCAAACTTTTGTTTAATGACTTGAAAATTTGATATTTTCTATGAGAGAAGGTTCAAGTTCAGTGTTGGAGAGGCATGAAGCTTCTAATTTCATTGCTATCCTAGCCTACTTTAGATGCTACTGGTAAAGATATTATAGTGCATTAAGTTAGATCTCTCTGTGAACAATGAAATTTTTTTTTGGTACCAGGGGTCGAACTCAGGACCTTGTGCTTGCAAGACAGGCACAGTGCCACTGAGCTAAATCCCCGGCCCCATGAACAATGATTTTATATGACTACTTTGCAACACTAAAAACTTAAATTACTCCTCTAAAAATGATAATGAAAGTGATGAAATGTTACAAATCTTGTCACAAAGAGGCCTACTTCAATTGAGTTAGACTTTGGGTTAATCCTCTTTGACTTTCAACCTTGGTCAGTTCCAACCCAATGAGGGAGCAGCAAGTATTTTGCCTATTCCTGAGATTGCCTCTCTCTGGAACTTACTATAAAATATAGTTTTTGGAGGAAGTTAAAACAACTGATTTTACAGATAAATTTTATTACATGCTAAGGGATAAATGTGCGGCATTCATTACTAAGTAAACATTTGGGTTATTACCAATAAGTAAAATAAAACCCTTATTTGATTTCAAAACACTGGGACATCACAATGAAAACATAGGTTTATGTATAAGTTTCATTGACTGAAAGATATTAAACTCAATATTGTGTTTTCTTGTTGACATTTTTCTATTTTTAGAGAAGGATGATGTGTGTGTATTTCAAGAAGTATCAGTGTTGAATCTTGGACAATCTGTGATAAAGTATTTGGAAGGGGACTTTTGTTATACAATAGAGTGTTTGGAAGAAAAAGATAATCATACAGGGTTTCACACTTTGAATTTCACAATGGTGAATTGTTCAAAAACTTGTGATGTTGTAAGTATTCCTTATGTTCCAGTGAGAGTTAATCAGTCTATATTTGGCAGCTACTAATTTGGACTAGTAAATACTTCCTAAGATAAAAATACGAACTTGAATAGTTCTTCAGTCTATTATTTTATATTTGTTTATTGTATATTTCCACTTTCTTAGGACAACCTTGAACTTTAGGACTTTATTATTTATAATTTGACAGCTTGCTTGAGGTTGTTACACCTGCTTTATGAATCTTTTTGTTAACATCTATTACATTTCTATTATGGCCATATGATCTAATTGTTATTTGAAGCTCCTTAAATTCAATCTTAGAAATGCTCACCGCTGTTCAGAGAGAATGTATAGTTATGTAGGAAAACATCTCCAGAACTAATTCATTAAAATATTGATATTGTTTTGTGGCCAACTTAATGTACTGTCATTACATGCAGAACCAGGTATACACTCCAGCTCCAAGTGATTACGATTGTTGTGGTACCTGTAGAAATGTATCCTGCAAATTTCATATGGAAAATGGAACCTCAGTTATATATGCGGTATGATTCCTTTGTTTCCTAAAAGGTGTTCTTTGGAGAGTTGGTGTTGGTGCTACTTTCTAAGGAAGACAATCTTGGTTTAGTAAACTTGAAAAAGATCACACAACCATGCAGATCTAAACACGTCTGCACATACATTAAATATATTCATAACAGTACAGTTACAACGTACAACACACATTAAAGCGTTTGATAATTTCTGTTATGAAGAACACATTTGTACGGTTTCCCAAAGTAATTTTAGCATAGATATTCACATTTTTTCCCAAATGGGAGAAATGGGTTGTGGAAAAATCTTTATTTTTAGTTATTACAAAAGAACAGGAAACTCAATATTTCTATGGAACTGTGAACTTTTGATTTTGGATAAATTCGATATTACTATTTCTTGAATTTGAACGTTTTACCTTCTTTGATATTTAAATTTATAGATCATTTCCAGCTGAGGCCCATGAATGAACCTGAGGCTGTTCATAAATTGAGATAGAATCTAGAGAAAAGAAAAAAGGGAGGTTCATTAACATTTCTTACCTGTTCACAGAGAATCTTCAAGCCAGAATTTGACTATATTTTTAAAATGTAGGTTTTAAAATAAAACTATAGATCAATCACAGCCAAATAATTATGTAATAATTATTATGTAACAATTATTTAGGCTAACTTTATTTCTAAATAGAAATTCTGAAGTCAGGAATGAAAAAAAGTTATTATAAACATTTATTAAAGGAATAAGACTAGATTTTTAAATAACTATAAGGTGTACAGGATTAGAATCATGTAGCTCAGCAGCACAGTGCCTGCCTGGCAAGTGTGAGGTCCTGAGTTTGATCCCCAGTACAATAAAAAAAATTTGAATCACTAGTCAATAACCACTATTACCCAAATATTTAAAAAATTTTTTGGTAGTAGGGGAGTAGAAAGAAGGATAAACAAATCTCAAAAAAGGAGGCATGAAAGTGATATGATTTGTTGTTTTATAATTAATGAGGAAATGTTAGAGTAAGACCTTTGACATGTCATCAAATTAGATAATTAATTTTGTAGTAGAAAGAAGGACCTGTTTTCCCCTTTCCTCTATTGCTTCATTTCACGTTTATATCTCAGCTCTATCATGGAACCAAATGCATGCATTAAACACACACCATATGTATGTACGTATTTTCAGTTTTAATAAATTTGGGGAGTCTTTTTCTGACGGAACATTTATGTCACAAGAAGCTTTCTTCATCTTGATTTGAACTGATTCAGTAGGAAACAAAATAGTCTACTTAAGAAGCAGCAGATTTTATCATACCAAACAGTAACTTTTGTTTTTATTTTTAGGAGGGGAGTACCTGGCACTATAACTGCACCACATATGAATGTGTTAACACTGAGGAAGGGGCTATGGTTCTGAACTATAGCATGGTCTGTCCCCCTTTTAATGAGACTGAATGCAAAATGGTTTGTACTTTGTCTTATCTAAGAAAATTCTGTATTGACTTTTATTTTAAAAATACACTTTATATATTTTACAGGGTCACATTTAAATTATAGTTCCTTTATCTTGGTGAAAGTTTTATTTTCTTGCATAAGTAAAAGCTCTGTAGTATTTTCTTAGTTTACTATTTTGAGTTCTAGATGATGTTCCAAATATGATTGTTTCTTTGTGGACATCTTGTTATCTTTAGGATTTTATGCACTGATGTAAAAATTATTTTAAAAATTCTTGGGTCAGCAAGCCTAGACCCCCTTTTGAAATTGATTAATGAGCTAATTAGTTGAGTTAGGCCAATTTTTTTCCCTTGGGCGAGTTTTTAATGTGCGTTTCCTGATGTGACATTTGCCTTTGTTTCTCTGAGCACTAAGTTCTCATTGGAGAACTTAGTATAATGTTAGATTTTTCTCTCCCAGTTCTCTGAACTCTCAGAACAGAGTCTATTGGGAGAGTAGATTTTTAAAAGTGACACAACATTTATTTTAAAAGGTTCGCAGTTTTAATTATTTAGCCAAGGATAATCCCTAAAGAAAAATGATCTTTGATCACTTGTGTAGAGAAATAGCGTAGTGTCACTGATCCCCACCCCCAAGATGTACCCTTTGAATGATGTTAGCTAGCTAGCTATAACTTGTTCTAGTCATGGAATTTAAGTGCTGGAAAGAAACCTGGGCATCATCTTACTCCCCAATCATTTTATGGAATAAATTATTTGTTCATTTGAATTGCAGTCAGCAAGTGATGGAAAGCAATTAGTAATTACTGTCCAAATTCTAAAAGCTAATCAATAAAATTTTATCAATTTAGCCTTAGATGAGAGGCATCTAGTGATATTGAATGCTTTTGAATCCTTTTATTAAGGAAAAATTTATGCTATTTCAACATTTAATTATGTTCAGAAACTCAGTCTAACAGAGTAATTTAGATGATTCTGAGGAGTTGAGAATTTTGACTTCTATTAAAAATAGCTCTTATATTTTGTCTTGGGGAAAATATTTTGGACCTCTAACATGATTTTTTAAGTAACATGATCTTTTTTGTACTTTTGCATATTATTAATGTAGAGAGAATTCAATCTTAAGCAGAATATCAGCTCTTAAGAAAATTTTATTAGATGATGAGGAAAATTTTATTAGAAATGGTTAAAGTCCAATCTTTTTCCTATAAAGCCTTTGTGATATTGGATAAGGATATTGGAAAAATTAGGTTTTTATTTCTATTGTGAGAGGAAATGACTGGACACTAAATTTCTTAACTTTATTTCTTTTCTCTTTTCCTAGAATGAAGGGATTGTAAAGCTTTATAATGAAGGCTGCTGCAAGATCTGTAAGTGAGGGCACATTAAATGAAATAACTTCATAAGTTAGATGTGATTGCTCATGGTAATTATGATTTTCTTTTAAGATCCCATTTCTGTGATGCAAAGGGAAATATATTTTATAAAGCACATTATTTAAGTGTTTTTGTGTTGTATGGTTGATAACTTTGTGATTTATTCTTTGTCTTCTGTAGTGTACATAAAATACTTTTAATTTAGATAAATTTTAATTTCATTATTAGAAATTTACTGTGGCATTTCTCAGTAGCTATTAGGTAGGATTTTAATAGATTTTATGTTTATAAGTGTACTAATGTCAAAAATCTTGGGACATCCTGAACTACTTAAAGCTGAGGTTATGGTGACAATGACAGTGAACATCCAATAAGGACATACAGGTTTTTTTTTTTTTTTTTGGTACCGGGGATAGAACTCGGGTCCTTGCGCTTGCGAGGCAGGCAGCAGAACCACTAAGCTAAATCCCCGGTCCCTAAGGACATATAGATTACAATGCTTTCCAAACTATTTTGAGCAAGTCTATGATTCTGTACTTTTGAAAAATACTATTTTAGTGAATTGCGTTTAAGTCCTAAATGTAAAAGTTCTCATGGTAATTTTGATAGTTAAAGCTGTGTGCATATATTTTATAGTTTGGAATTATAAATTTTATTGCATAGTGATTTTTAAATAATTTTAAAGACTGAAATAGAATAGAGGCATATTTATATAACTAATTTTATTTTTTAAAAATCTGCTTGAATTTTTTGCAATATAAAAATAGGAGTTTTTGGAAAATTGGCATAGACAATAATTTAAACATTAGAGATGCTTTTAGGAAAAAGGGCATAACATTTTTCAGGTTAATAATGCATAATATAGGCCTGGGTTTTTAGATTAAAAATTGTCATATTCACAAATGAGATTTTTGATCTGCTCGAAGAGTTAGATTCTCTCTTTAATATGTGAGAATAGTTTTATCAATTTAGAACTGTCTATTCTTATTGAATAGAATATTAAAATATATTTGTTTATTTGTTTGTTTTCTGGTACTGGGAATTGATACAGTGTATTAAAATAATGATACAACATAATTATGATATCTATATACCCTTGAACCGATAACAGCTTCTAAATCAGGGCATCTCCAAAGTTTGCTGTAAATATTTATTCCTCATAAATCCAATAAAATATGTCCTGAAAGTACCCTGGTGTTCACTGTAGAGTGGTTAGGTAATTTGTCTAAGTCAAAGCTCTTGTGACTGGTGATTCTGGGCTATAATGACATGATATGTGAAAAGCCAAATTAAACACATGTGTATACTAAAAACAAAGAAAATGGATCAGTATAACATAGCTTGATATCTAATTTGTCATTGTATTAATTTCTAGGGCAGCTGAAACAAAGTACTGTAAGTGAGTAGCTTAAGGAAATTTCTTGTTACAGATCTGGAGGCTAGAAATCCAGAGTAAAGATGTTGGCAGCTGGTTTACAATTAAAGCTATAGATGGTTGTATGTTCATATGGTGTTCTTCCTGTATGTGCGGCTGCCTTTAAATGTTCCCCTTTTATAAGGACAGCAGTCATATTGGATTAGAGCCCATATAATGATGTCATTTTCACTTGATTACCTCTGTAAAGACCTTGTTTCCAAATAAAGTCAAATTCTAATTTTCCAAAGTACATAAACACAAGTAATTTTGGAGAGTACAATTCAACTGATAAGAGTTACATTGCTTTGGTTTTATGGATACATAGTATAATATCACTTATGCATTTTAATTACTGGTGATCTTAGATGTATACTAGTTAAAATGTCTATGATCATTACAAATAAACAAATTTTCATTCATATCTTTACAAATGTAAACTAATGTGTATCAAATAATCATTGTATCACAAACTAAAAGAGTGAAATTTAACTCTAGAATCTAAAGAAGTCTATAGGTTTTTTATTAATTATATTGGTACATGTAAGGCATACAATATAATGACATTCATCATTGGAAATTTGCACCTTTACATAATCTCTCTTGGTTCTTATTTTTTCCCCATTCCCCTGCCCTCCCTTCAACCCC